AAAAAGAATATATAATGAACTCAAAAAAATTAAACCCCTCCCCCAAATAAAAGACCCCATCAAAAAATGGGTAACTGCAATGAATAGACACTTCTCAGAAGAAGCAGTACAAATGGCCAATAAATACATGAAAAAATGTTAAACATCTCTGGCCACTAGAGAAATGCAAATTAAGACAACATTAAGATTCTATCTTACTCCCAAAAAGAACAGCTGTCATCAAGAAATTAAATAACAAATGCTGATGCAGCTGTGGAGGGAAAAGGACCCTTCCATGTTGTTGGCAGAAATGTAAATTAGTACAACCACTATGGAAATAAGTATGGAGATTCTTCCAAAAACTAAAATCTAGAAATTCTATTTAACACATTTATTCCCCTTCTACGTATCTTCCCAAAAGAATTAAAGACATTATATTACAGTGATATATGCATACCCATGTTTATAGCAGCACAATTCATAATAGCTAAATCTTAGAAGCAATATATATGTCCATCAACAGGTGAATGGACAAAGAAAATGTGGTACTTACACACAATGGAGTACTACTCTGCCATCAAAAAGATAGAGTCATATGTAGGAAAATGGATCCACCTTAAGACTATGATTTGAGTGAAATAAATCAGACACACAAGCTTAAATATCACATGATTTCTCTGATATGAAACCCCAAAATATAAATAAAGAGCAAAATAAAAGATAGATAACAAGGAATAGGGAGGTAGATCTTTTGCAAATGGAAAGAGGACCAAGAGATGGTGGACAGGAAGGAGATGAAAAAAAGAAATTCAGATGTGATGTGTTCCTGTACCAACTCTCCATAAGAAATGTCATCATTATGTGTTGCGAACATATACTAATAAAAAAAATAAAAATTAAAGAAGAAATTCAATGATTAGAGTCACCTGGGGGTCAGCTGTTTCCCTTAGAAGTTACTGAGCCCCCAGCCCCAGGCACCTCATTTAGAAGAGGCTGTGTGTCCCTCTGGGGAAGGCTCCAGGAAACAGGGCCAACTGAGATGAATTTGGGGCGGGGAACCACGTGGCCTCTGGGATCCCTTCCAGCTCTAAGATCCTAGTAGTCTATTTTAGAACATTCTGCTCCGAGGTTATTAACAAAACCTAAGAGTTGGCTCCCACTCCAAAGTGTAATTTTGCCTCCTCTGACTCACTCAGACAGAAATACTTGGAGAGGATTCGTGGGTGGTGATGGCAGCTCACTGGCCTCTAAAGGAGAGATCCATACTGCATGGGCTCCCGGGAGTACTGGACTGAACTCACGTCCCTCCCTCCTCTCCACTCACCAGGGAATGAGCAGGAGGCTCCCAGTTCCTGGGGGTTGAGGACTGGCTGAGAGAAGGATGTTGGGTGCAGAAACCAAAAGGTAGGATGTACAATGCTCCCCAGCCCTGAGTGTCAAGGCACCCACGGAAACAACAGCATTTATACTGCACTTTAATGAAAGGGGCTATTCAGGGCCAAAGGCAAGCAGCCCTCAAGTTTAGGGACAGGTCACCCCAAACCCTGCTTAGATGTGTCACAGACGTTATCCTGTCCCACCAATAAGCTGTTCAAGGCCACCAAGTGGAAAGACTGGGGTAGAGGAAAATAAGAATGAGAAAATAAAGGCAGCATTTCCATTTATAAAGCACCACCAGCCTGCAAGGAGCAGGGCAGAGGGAAGAGATGAGTGATGGTAAGTTACTGCCCTACATGTCCCCCACTGAGTTCCATCTCTCACCCATGAAGAGCAAGAGAAAGGAAACTTACCTTAGAAGAACCACGCTGTTGGACATGAAGGCACCAATGGTGACATCTGAAAACAATAAGTTAGAGCATTCAGACACTTGTAGAAGCCCACCAACAACAGCTCCCACCCACCATGGTGCTCTGCAGCAACTGAGGCCCAACTTTGAGTCAGGGAGCCCTCCAACTGCCATAGTCTGGTCTGTACCGTGGTTTTGTAAGAATTAAAACTACACTGTCCTACCACATGTGGTATTAAAGCTTTGAAGTAAGGCTGGTCTGAATTGAGATAGGCTGTAGAAATATATCATGTTCCAAAGAAATAAATTTTTAAAACCATATTATCTATACTTTATATCTAACCATATATTATTCTATACTTTATGTGGTTACGAGCATATCTCAGTTTACACGTGTAGCTTCCTTTATTTCTTTTTTTCCTTTGATATTAGTGCAATAAAGAGAGATACCCAGAATTAAATAACTCTTGGAAAATGAGCTAGGGCAGTGGTGGCAAACCTATGGCATGAGTGTCTCAGCAGGCTGTTCACATCACTGAAGCTCTAAAAGGTTCGCGGTCACTGACCTAGGTCTGTCAAGCATGGAAACCCTCACCTCCCCCTCACTCTATGAGACTTCAGGTTCTCTCTGCATCCTTGCCTATAATGTAGGGATCCTTATCCCCAAGGCCTTCTTCCTTAAACTGCCAATATTTTATATTTAAATCATAAAATACTTATTATTAAGTGTAACATTTATTAAGTAATCTTTAAACACGAAATATTTAAATATTTATTAACTATATCAAATCAGACAATTAAATAATAAAATACATTAAAATACTTGATAAATTAAGTCATGCTTGGTAAACTAAAACACAGGTTTAGTTAGTAATGTTTTCTGCTTTGTTTTTGTTTTGTTTTTATGGTGTGCTAGGGATCACACCCAGGGCCTCACACATGCTAAGACAAGTGCTCTACCATTGAACTACATCCTCACTCCTTAGCAATGTTTATTTCTAAATAAAGTGTTCACTCATCCAATAGATCCCTCCCTTCCTTCCCCCTCAAAATAAATCCTTCAACACTGGGGCTTCATTAATAGTTCAAAGAACCAAACCTCTGAGTTCAAGAGAGTCTAAACCTATCTGTCACTAAATGAAAAGGTCTATACAATGTTCTCATTAAGGGAAAACAACAGCAAATCCATGAATTATGGAACTCCTACAATTCCCACACTTAGGTGTATTTATTAGTTTTATTCTTCTTCAATAGTATTAACTGCTTGCATGTTTGAAACTAAATGAACCTGACAAATGTATCACTTATTTTTTTATGAAAAACACAAGAAATGAAGTTCAGATCCATTGTGAAATGTGAACGCATCTGCTCATCGTGCATTCATACAGCAGCAGCTGAGCCACTGGGAGACCTGAGTCCCTGCTCATGCCTGCAGACTCTAGTCATCCCCAACTTGCGCTGATGCACAGCATTCTCATCCATAAAGTCCCCTCCCTGCCTGCTACTGGCATCACTGTGAGTTGGACATTGCAATGCGGCAGAATTTTACACATCTTAAAGTACTCATCCCATATAAGCTATTATTTGGAGATGGCCTCAGATTGCCTAGTACAAGCAAAACTGCAGTCCCAAACTTATAAAAATACAGGAGAGTCTATTCTGGAGCAAAAGTTTCAGCACTGAGCCTTTTTCATTCTACTCTCCCTGGCTCTACAAAGTCTCAAGGGTGTGCAAAACTTCTATCTAGAAGAAAACACAAAATTTTGTGTCTTAGGATTGTATTAGTTTTTACAGATTTTAAGTAGAAAGAAGTATTTTTTCAAAAATAAGATGACTAGGGCTGGGGATTTAGCTCAGTGGTGCTACCGCCTACCTCACAAGCACAAGGTCCTGAGTTTGATCCCCGGTAAAAAAAAATAATAATAATAAGATGACTATATATTCCTGGAAATGTTTTCTGAACTCTATAATGATCTGGAGTTTTTTCAAATTCCTACCTTTGCTTTCTCATCTCACTCCACTGCATCTTCAAACACCTAAGGACCACTATCCCACTACCCAGTTAATTTGACTTAAATTATCACTTGGGGTATCACTTGGGGTTGGGTTGAAAATTTCCCATTTTCATTCAATTAGCCTCAACTCCCACAATGCATTCATTCACCCTGAAGACCAGTCAGCCTCAAACACAGAAGGGCTGCTTGGACCTGGCTTTCTTCTTATCCAAATCTCTCTCTGTAATTTTCTTTTAGGAGGAAAGGGGTGGCTCCTTTTTCTTCTCAATAGGAAGAAGTCTCTAAATATGAGTATGGTTAAATATAAACAAACAAATTATGATATACTATTTTATTGTCTTTACTTTTACTAGTCCATGTTCGCAGAACATAATGATTACATTCACTGTTGGGAATTGGTACATGTACATATCACATTTCAACTCCCTCCTTCCTCCCCTCTTTTTATTTTTCCAGCATCAGATTTTAAATATATACCATTTTAAATGGACAATGCTTTTTTTTCATTAGAAATGCTGCCACAGAAATTACTAAAATTTCATCCTCATGGTATTTAAACCCATCAAAGTAAATCACTTTAAAACTCAGAAATGAACATCAACACTATCTGTACCTTAAAATCAAGCAGCAGGAAAAACATTCCATCCCACTGTGTGAATTTTCCTAATCCTAAATAGAGGAAATAACTGCTAACCACACTAGAAATTAGCCCACCTCATGCACTTATCTTTCTCATGTGCCTTTAAAGAAAAACAACTTACCAGGATAGCCATTTCCATCCATATCAATGCCTCCTGATATGGACTGCCCGAACATCCGCAGGACTGGGTTTATCCTCCGCCCAGACAATTTCTGAAACAGAGAATAGGGACATGGATTCACTAGAAAAGTAAGAGTCACCAATAAAAACTTGAGACCATTTTAACCAGCTTCCCCTGGGGTATCTGGTCTTAAATTGTTGGGGGTGGGGGAGCAACTCTAATTTGATCAGGAGGCCTTTAGCAGGCAGTTGAAGACTACACACTCCTTTATTATTATTTGCCTTGGACAAATTTCATCATTTTAAAATTTTGCTAAGTTCACTGCTAACAAATAAATCTGCCTAGACTAATGTGATTTTTTTTGACATGTTAAAGTTTAAGATAGATAAAGTTTCACTTCCATTTCTAATAGGTTCTGTTTTGTTTTGACACAGGTATGGCTTGCTAAAATTCTAGGAGCACATTTACTTCCTATCTCTGTACCCGCACAGGTACCAAACACTTAATATTCCTGTTCCAAGACACACAATACTCTTGCCCTAGATGGACAGGTAATTAACATATCTGACTGGAATTATGGCCCTGTGGAAAGTGCCTCTCCAGCCAGCCAACCAGGAAGTCTATAGACTCCCAAATTTCACAACCAGAATTACACAGTTTTATTTAGTAAATCCGGAATTCCGTGGTCCTGACCTTCTATAATCTATAAGAAATCCACAAGAGGGCCGGGAATTTAGCTCAGTGGTTCCGCCACCTGCCTTGAAAATGCAAGGACCTGAGTTCGATCCCCGGTGCCAAAAAAAAAAAAAGAAATCCCCGAGAATCAGCTGAAGCTGCCTTTCTCCCTACTAGACAGTCCTCAACCAACCAGTCATAATTCACAACTCCACTATCATGGCACACATTAGCTAGCATCTGTGCTTTTTATTCATCATGAAGTTCATCACATATCAACACAGGCAGCATTGGTTCAAGAATATTTGCACAGCCAGCGCTCATCATGCAGAGCTATGCATCAGCATTTGTGTGGTACAGATCTTCACAAGGCACTGAACTTCCTGAATCAGAAAAATTTCATTTTCTGGCATCTGACTGGCTCCTCCCTACTTTTGTCCCAGTCTCCTCAGGAGGCTCACCTCCCAGTGCCCTCACTGTGAATGGCAGCAGACATGCTTTGTTTTCACATCTTGAAGGAAAATCCACAAGAGAATCAGGTTTACAGATATCAGGATCATTTCACCTTTATTTCCTTATCCTTTTCCTTACTGAGTCACCCTATAGAGAAGTCATCAATGTGGGCAGGAGTTTCCACAGGATCTGCATATGGATGCTGAGATGTCCCCCCATCCCACTGCTGCTGGTAACTGCAAATAATCTTCTCAGAAATGATCTGAAAGTCCCTCTTGCCATTTTCAATTACACCATCCAGCAGGAAATGTGTGTGCATCAAAGTACAGATCAGAACACTGTAGCAGAAGTGCCTCTTACTTCCAGGCAAAGCCTCACATCCCACATGGCTCTATCTAAACAAACACGTGTGTCTGTACTTCTTACAAGCCATGCTTTGAAGAAGGCCATCTCAGCTCTGAAGGCTAAGAACACTAGCAACAGCCTGCCCTGGGTTTGCATTTCTAAGGTATGCAGTGGCTGGGACTGGGGCTGAGAGAGAAGGGGTGGTCTACTTGGGGGTGGCAGTGCAGGCTTAAGTTATCCGCAGACATCTGCAGGCCATTATGCTATAAAGCCAGGAAGATAAGTCTGCTCGGTGCTAATAACCCTAAATGGAAACCAGGAACTTTGGAAAACCTCCACTTGACCAGGTTTATGTGCAATGTCCGTTGCAGCAGCAGAAAGATCACAGGGGCCGCCATGACATGCCCAGAGGGCTTTCAAACTGGGACAGGCACACAGGGATGTTAAAATCAACACTCTTCATGGTAAACTCAAGGAAAAAGAATGAGTTAAACAGTAATGTGGAAGAAGTTGAGGCCCTGATCTCACCATTTATCCAGCAGAAATAATACCAATCTGGGCCAAAGAAAAGCAATCATGTTGCCCAGACTTATTTCTGATTTCTTCCTCTACTTTCCACACACAATGCTCACTCTGTCCAAGACCTGGGCCCAGAAGGATCTATCATTAAAGGGTTTTTTCCCCTTTTAAATCATTGACCTTATCATATATATATTAACAGCTTGGAAAAGTATACTCATCGTTGTTTTTCTCTGTCTCTCTTTCTTTAAAGAGGCCCAAACCACTTCTTTGTCAAGGCTGACAAGTCAACATGCCTGCTGACAAAGGCAGGGCGGTCCAGCTGCTGATCCCGCTTCCTACTAGAGACACTCAATATTAACCACAAAATGTATACTCCAGCTTTGTGCAGGATTCCACCCAGCAACAAAACAAAACACTGTAGAGCCCTGGGAGGAGGGGAAGCAGGGGTCTTGCACAGGTTGTACCCTGTGTAATTAGCTTCCGAGGTCCAAGAACAAGCTTCCGGGAGGATGTATGGAGAATGACCCTGTCCTCTGCCCAAGCACCAGATCCGTAGGTGACTTTCAGCCTGTCACACTGGGAACAGCATCCCAGTCCAGGGTGGCTCCTGGGATGCAATGTGGTCCCCACACTGTGCCCAAAGCCTCTTCATCCTGCCATGTCAGCTGGGATGGATTAAGAGCATATTGCTCTCACTGTTACTGTACTTATTTCTAATGAAAAGAGGATGATTCACGTGGACAGAGGCTCCTTGGAGTATGTGTGCTTCATAGAAAAATAAGTTTCTGTATCTCTAAGTTTTCCTACTGACCTGCCTTGGGTGAGCCCTTTTCCAACATGGAGCTGAGGACAGTGGTTATAAGCAGTTTCAGGAGTCAGACTGTGAAAGTTTCAACAGCCCTAATGCTGCTTACTACCTTGGGCAAGTTAAATGCCCTCCCTGGGTCACGGTACCTCAGAGAAAAACAGTGGATAATCAATGTGCCCACCTCATGTGGCTGCTGTGAAAGCTCACAGCAAGGAAAGGGCAGAGCAGGCCCTGGGGAAGCAGCCCCCTGCTCCCCTGAAGTGTCGCTCACAAGCAAGGTACTGAGCTGAGAAGCCAGCCAGCAGACAATGAACCTGTATTTTTTACATTCTTCTGCTTAAACTTAAAATATAAATACATAATGTAAATATGAAAGAACTTAACACTTAAGTGCTTGATAACTATTTGCTGACTGAAAATTTCTCCACGTGCATTGTCCTTTTTCAGTCACTGACCTGCTCCGAGAAAGACACAGGCCAGTGCCACTCTACACACGTCCACAAATATCCTGACCGTGCTTCTGTCCAGAGTGTGACTTCCTTTTCTCCCATGGGGTGGGCTTGATAGCGTCAGCAAGACTGAATATAGAGCTGATACAGCAAAAAAAAACCAAACTCACCACTTCCATGTTCCCAACTCTGGGGCAAGGCCAGAGCTTTGTCCAGCTCCTGGTTTTGATGACAATTGTGTCAATAGTCCATGATAACTTTCAGGCCCTCCTCTATGGACCAATCTCTCTCTAAATTATACTTTAATGATATTCCTCTGACTTAACCCATCGATGGTCAGTAAAGCAGACACCAAAAAGAAACTTTACTCTCTCAAGTAGCTCAAATGCTAAATAAAAATTTGGTTATTTTCTGTAGGGCAAATGTATCCCTGAATGTGAGCAATGTCAGGATCCTATGAGTACTGTTTTATACTTAATATGTAATATCAATTGTTTTCTTCTTTCACTAGAAGGCGGGTGCCTAAAGGCAAGCCCAATGTCATGCTTTCATTTGTAACCCTAGAATATGGTACACAGCAAAGGTTCCATACATGTCTGTCGAGTGGACATATGCACAGTTACCATGTCATTCTCACACCAATTACCATTGAGTACTGGGGGACCACCCCACCGGCATCGCCATGATAGATATAGACTGCCCCCGCAAAGTCGTCCTCTTCAGGTGCACCAATGGCCACATCTGAGGGAGAAAAACAACTATGGGTCAGAATGCCATATGGAATAATATGTGTGGATTCCCTAATCCCAGTTATCTTGTCTGAGGCCCCTGATCCAAGGAATTCTTGGCTAATCATTCAAGCATTATATTAGGCACATGATCTCTTCGCAGGGGGGAAAAAAAAAACCATGAAAAGAAAGTTAAAGAAGCTGAGAAGACTTTAGTCCCAGAAAAGTTTCTACCTCATCCTCATAAGAAAATTGATATAAAGAAACAATGAAACATTGATATAAAGAAATTTATCTGGATGTGATGGTTCACTACTATAATCCTAGCACTCTAGAAGGCTGAGACAGTCTGGGGAACTTAAGAGAGATCCTGTACCTGTCTTAAAATATTTAAATGGCAGGGATATTTTTCAGTGCAAAGGTCCTGGGTCAATCCCCAGTACAGCAAACAAAAAAAAATTTTAATAAGAAAAAATATATATACATAAACTACCCACCCTAATCTCTGTCAGAGAGGGGGATTCCATAGACAATGGTTATTGCATAACTGAGAAAGCCAACTCTATTCCTAGATAAAGGAAAGGTACAGAATGTAATTAATTTCTCAAAAAAGAAAATCAGTGTTACTCTCACAAATGACAGCTCCTGGATCAAAGCTTAGCTATTTCCTGTCTTCTCTTTGCTTCTTATAAGAGTCATATGTCTGAAGAAGTGTGCTTAAGGGCAGAGAGCACGTATCCCCTGATCTCAAGATAGAGGTTCGTATCATGTTCGTGTTTTCTCTCTCTCCCCCTTTCCTCCCTCCTCCCTCCTCTCCCTCTCAAGATAGAGGTTCGTATCATGTTCGTGTTTTCTCTCTCTTCCCCTTTCCTCCCTCCTCCCTCCTCTCCCTCTCCCTCTCTCTCTCCCTCTCTCTCTCTTTCTGTTTCTCTCTCTCTCCCTCTCTCTCTTTCTGTTTCTCTCTCTCTCTCTTTCTTTCTGTTTCTCTCTCTCTCTCTCTCTCTCTCTCTCTCTCTCTCTCTCTCTCTCTCTCTCTGAATGGTGCCCTCTGTGGCTAGTGGCATGAGGTAGCAATGGAGCCCAGATACTTGGCCTGGTCAAGAGCAGCACCCCAGTCTTGGGGATGTGGCTTCCCTAACCCCTAATGTCTATACACTGTACATACAATGAGGGAAGAGGTATTTAACAGGCCAGAGGAGACATCAATGGGCTGTGAAGGATTCTGGGGTCCAAAGAGAAGTGGATATTAGGACCCAACATCCCTCCCCCCATACTGAATCTTCAAAGCCACCACTATGAGGGACAAAATGTCTAATTCTGTCCTCACTTATTTCCTCCAAAACACGGCAGACCATTATGAAGCATCAGAGACTCAGAAACAGAAAGAACTGGTACAGGAGAAAGCTCATTAAACTTCTCAGCCACAAGAAGCCCAGAGGACCAGTCCTGAGGTTTGCTTCCACTGCAGAGACTAAGCAAAGAGGGCTGAGCTGACAGGCTGTGCCGAAATGAAACTCCAGTGGGCTCAGCTCTCAGCTCTGGGTGTTTACATGGAGAACATCTCCAAGAGTTTTCTCTCTCCCCATAAAAATGCTGATGGACTTTCACTGTGAACCAGGAGCCCCAGAAGCAGGTCATGACAAGGGGACAAAGTCAGAGAGCAGCCTGACACTCTGACCCGGGGCTGACTACTGCACCTGCAGGAGCTCTGCATTCCAGAGACCTCACTCACCTGAGAAGCCATCATTGTCAAGATCCCCCAGGCTGGCGATGCTCTCCCCAAAGTGCGCATTGTAGGCCCTATCCCCAGTCAGGGCAAGCTGCTCCTCAAGGGCTCCCTGGGAAACACGACCGAAGCAAAAATGGGAGAGGAAGTAACAGGGCCAGAAAAAAATTTTTAATTTAAAAATTAAAATTTAGAGCTCAGATCGCTGCCCTCCTAAATCACACTCATTGACAGGAAACACTTGGGCAGAATCACAAGAACCCAAACTTCTCTCTCCTCATGGCAAAATGAGTCCCTTCTCCTGTGCAGCAGGAAGGTCTCCAATAGCTGAGATGTGTTTCAGAGGCAAGGAGAGTGTCTCTTTGGCCAATGACTACATGCTCACTGTTCTACTACTGCACAGACAAGCAAGCCCACTTACCACACATGCGCACAGTATTCCCTCAGCTTTCCTTATGGTGTAACTCTTTTGCCAAAGTTTTTTTTAAACAAGAACATATTTTTTCTTTTTCTCTCCTGTGCCTTTATATAGAAATTCATAAAGCTGTTTTCCAAGGTGCATGCTGATAGAGGAGATCATGGATCTGAAAATTCAGGCACCCCATTTGGACAGGGGTAGGACAAATCACTATGCTCAATGCCATACATGGCTCAGATTCAAAATCCCTAAGCAAACATTAACTCACAGACAAAGGGGGATCAGTGGTGTAGAGCGACAGTAAAAACCACCCAAGAATACCCACTCTGCTCCCAGCCACTGGGCATGTGAATACCAGAATATTGAAATGCAATCTGATGTTTTGAGGAGTAAGAACGTCTAAACCTTCCCCAGTGGAGAGGCACTCTGGACCCATCAAACACACAAGAGCCATCTCATGAATGTCTGGTATTTCTCATGACCAAATCTCTTTCAATATCAGCACAATTTTTAACTTAAAAACAATAAAGATGTGATGATTTCTTGAGTCAGTAAAAGCCTCACTCCAAAATACAAATAAGAGTCATCCCTCAGTGTCTGTGAGGGTGGACCACGATCTCTTGGATTCTAAAGCCTGCAAGTGTTTAAGTTCTTTATATAAAATGTCATTATATTTGCATATAACCTATCTACACCTTCCTGTGTACTTTAAACCATCTCTAGACTATTATAATATCTAATACAATGTAAATTTATTCAAAAAGTTGTTATATTCAAATAGTTGTATCACTTAAGGATTAATGACAAGAAAAAGTCTGGACGTGGCCAGTACAAACAATTCTTTTTGTTCCCATATGTTCAATACATGGTTGATTGAAACCGAGAAAGCACAACTCATAGATCCAGAGAGCTTACTGTGTGTGATTTCTTCCTATTACTGTGAGGGGGAAGAGGAGAGAAACACACATAACTGATTCCTTTTGTATACCAAGCACTGTACATCCATCCCTTCATTTATGACCTTTCCCAGTGTACAGGTGGGAAATTGAGGCATTAACTGCAATCTATTTGCTCATATCACAGAGGCTACAAACTGGAAAAAACCAACATTCAAACTCAGGTCCATCTACTCCAAAGTCATCATTATTTTCACTCCTCCACATTACCTTACAATTATTGATCAAATGGAGTATGTTTCAACAGAAACAAAACACTCTGGAGCTTAGGGTAACCATATATCTTTAAGTTACATTGGGTTGGAGGTAGGGGAAAGCCATGCATGGTTGCCTCATGCTCAGAGGAGGTCTGAGGGGAATTATCATGCTCCAAGATTCCACCGCCTGGGGCTTGATCACACAGTCAAACTATTGGGTCATGCAACTTTTTCATTCTCCTATACATATAAACGGTGGGCACCCACTGACTGTCCACTATTTTCACCTATAAAAGGACCACTTCATTTCTCCCTGTTCCCTACTCCTAGAATATCAGTGTGGATGCAGTTATCAAAAGTTAACGCCCAGGATACATATTTGACATTTTTTAAAAAATACATTTCCATATACCAATAATGAACTACCTGGGAAAAAACCTGAAAAAACAATTCCAATCACAGTAGTTTTAAAAAAAATACAATACCTAGGAATCATCCTAACCAAGGAGGTGACAGACCTCTAGAATGAAAGTTTCAGAACACTGAAGAAAGAAATTGAAGACACTAGCTAGAAGAGGGATAGACCTCCCATGTTCTTAGATTTGCAGAATTAATATTGTTAAAATGGCCATAATACCAAAAGCAATCTACAGATTCAATGCAATCTCCATGAAGAGTCCAATGACATTCTTCACAGAACTAGAAAAAGATCCAAAACTTCACATGGAAACAAAAAACTCAGAACACCAGCAGCAATCTTAAGCAAAACAAGAAAGGCTGAAGGCATCACAATACCTAATTTAAAATTATACTATAAAGATACTGTAACAAAAACACCATGATCCTAATGCAAAATAGACATACACAACAGAACAGAACAGGGAACACAGAAAGTAGGATGTGGTGGCACAAGCCCAGCACTCTGAAATTACGGGGGCAGGAGGATTGCAAGTTCAAGCCCAGCCTGGGCAATTCCACAACTTATCAAGACCTTATTTCAAAATTTTAAAAAATGAAAAAGGATTGGGGATGTAGCTTACTGTGAAAGTCCTAGGTTCAATCCCCAATACCTTCACCCAACACACACAAAGAAAAAACAGAGGACACAAAAACAAACCCACACAACTACTGCCATCAGATTCAGGAGTCAAAAACCAACACTGGAGAGAAAAACAGCCTCTTTCACAAATGATGCTGGGAAAACTGGATATCCATATGTAGAAGATTAAAACTAAATCCTTCTCTCACCTGGTACTTAAAAAAATCAATGCAAAATGAATTAAGACCTAGGTGTAAGACCTGAAACTTTGAAACCACTAGAAGGAAATACTTGAAGCCATAGGCACAGGCAAAGACTTCCTGAACAAGACTCTAATAGCACAGGAAATAACAGCAAAAATCAACAAATGGGCCTACATCACACTGAAGTTTCTGCACAGCAAGGGAAACAATCAAGAGTGAAGATACAGCCAATAGAATGGGAGAAAATATTTTTCCAGCTATTCTTCTGACAAAGGATTAATATTTAAAATATATAAAGAACTAAAAAACACCAAAAAATCAAATAGCTTAATCAATAAATGGGCAAATGAAATGTACAGACACTTCTCAAAAGTACTATAAATGGTTAATAATTATATGAAAAAATGTTCAACATCTTTAGCCATTAGGAAAATGCAAATCAAAACTACACTGAGCCAGATGTGGTGACACATGCCTGTAAGCCTGTAATCCCAGCACTTGGGAAGCTGAGGCAGGAGGATCACCATGAGTTCGAGGCCATCCTGAAATACATAGTGAAACCCTGTCTCAAACACAAACTCTCTCTCTCTCTCTCTCTCTCTCTCTCTCTCTAAATTGAGTCACTGAGTTTCCACCTCATACCAGTCAGAATGGTTATTATCAAGAATACAAGGGCTGGGGATTTAGCTCAGTGGTTCCAGTGCCTGTCTTGCAAGCACAAGGTCCCGAGTTCGATCCCCAGTACCAAAAACAAAAAACAAAACAAACAAACAAAAAAGAATACAAAAAAATTTTTTTAATCATAAATGCTGACAAAGATATGGGAGGAAAGGAACCCTTCTACACTTCTGATAGGAATGTAAATTAGTACAGCCACTATAGAAATCAGTATGAAGGTTCCTCAAAAAAGCTAAAATTAGAACTACCATATGACCCAGCTATATCACTCCTTGATATACACCCTAACCAAAGTCAGCATTCTGTAGGGATACCTGCATACCCATGTTTATTGCAGCAAAATTCACAATAGACAGAATATGAAACCAGCTCAGATACCCATCAATAGTTGAATGGGTAAAGAAAATGTGTTGTAACAGATAGTGTAGTATTCAGCCACAGGAAAAAACAAAATTCTGTCATTTGCAAGAAAATGGATGGATCTGAAGACCATCATGTTGAGCAAAATATGATTTTCTGTGATCAAACAATACACTGAATGTTTAAATTTTTAAAATGCATTACAGTAAGACACATTGCCAGTAATCCTCCTCAAAATATTCCTTGCTACAAACACATTTATCCCATCGCTCTTGCTACTTTCTGAAGCAGTTCTAGAAATCTATTTTTGGATCTTCAGTTATGCTTTCATGGCTGCCTTGATGTCTTAAATAGACTCCAAATTTTTACCATTCAGAGTTACTTTGATTAGGAAGAGCCACAAGTTGCACAGTGCCAAATCTAATGAACAAGATGAATGAGGTCACACTGTAATGTTTTCACAAGCCTCCTTTCCATTGCATGGCATTTGGCAGCAGAATTCATCATATTATTATCACATCTTATAAAGATTCAAGAGAGATCTTTCAGAAGTACTTCAGAAAGTGGCACAAATGATAGGATAAATGTGTTTGAAGCAAGGGGGTTATTTTGAAGGGGATTAATGGTAATGTGTGTTTTAGTGTAATAAATTTTAATTTAAACATTCACTATATGTGTTGATCACTCCTCATAAGCCGGACTCATAAAGACAAAACATGCCAGTTTTGAAGCCAAATTCAAATCCCAACCTTACCGCTTCTCACCTATGTGGTTTGGGCCATGTAACTTAACCTCTCTGTGCCTCAGTTTCTTCATCTGAAAACTAGAGACCCTTGATATCATGCGTGTATCTCACTGAAGCTTTCACAGAAAGCAGGAAAAACAGTGCCTGGTACATAGTGCTCAAAAATTTGTCAGGAAGGTTTCTTCCTGGCCCCTGTATGCCTACAGTTCTCACACTGTGTATGACTTCCCACTAATGGACCATTAGCATCTCCATAGCACGAATTACGCCATTTTACCTCCTCTGGATAAGGTGGCCCTGTGCACGCCCAGAAGAGGCTGCTCAGTCACTCGTGGCTGGACAAATGCCCCTTCCTCCCCACACTCCATGCCCACATTGCCCATGGTACTGGTACTCACGTTTCCTCTGTTGATGTATACAGTGACCTGCCCCTCATCTCTGATCTCAGAAAACATGGGGGCACCCACTAGCAGGTCAGAAAGGCCATCCCTGTTCAGGTCAACTGCGCATAAGGAGGAGCCGAAGTAAGAGCCCATCTGCAAACAAGTCGAGTCACAACAAAGTGTTCAGTGTCTACCCTTGCACACCTAGGCCCTCGAGGTGCTCTGGCTCACTAGTTTCAGAGACACTTGCTCCGGGTCCCTTCAAGGCTGCACTAGCTAAGCTGCCATGCCCACCAGAATGCCCAAGCAAACAGTGAGGTACCCGGCACCCATGGACCTTCTTTTTTGTTTTTTAAGGCCGTCCCTTCCCCCTCCCACCTCTTAGCTCTCTCCCTCCCTTCCTTTTTTTTCTGAGAGGAATTCTGTTGTATGGGTATACCACAGTTTATTCATGAATAGTTGGATATTTGGTTGTTTCAATTTTGAGAAATTATAAATAAAACATTTGTGTAAACATTTGTGTGGATATAAGCTATTATTATTTTGGTAAATACCTAGGAGTGAGATTTTGGGGGCATACAATAAATATATACTGAATTTTCTAAGAAATTTCCAATTTTTCAAAGTGTCTGTGCTATTTTATATTCCTATCAGCAATGTATAAGAGTTTTTAATGCTGTGATCCTTATTTTTTTTCCCATTAACTTTATTGATACATTTTAGGTATAAAATACAGTTACATTCATCATTGGGATCTTGTACCAGTACATGAGTCTCTTGGTTCTTATTTTTTTCCCCTTCCCTTGCCCTCCCTTC